ATGAACTAGCGATTTCTCTATGATAATTTGAATCAATACTCAATATGCTTAGAAAACAGCAACCTCAAGTCAAAATCTCACAAATCATTATATAAACCCTCTATTATTTCTGTTAGATTTCTGTTTATATTCTATACAGTAGTAGCACTACATTTCCCCATTGAGAGCCCAGAAGTCTCAAACAGTTAAAGCAATATGTATAGAAAGTCTCTTATTTGTAGGGAGGGCTCTTAATCAAACAAATTAATTTGTTTTATATTTCAAAAAAGACCCAACATAAGGGATACAGCAATACTAATACTAAATTAATTTAACAAACATTTTCTTCCACAAACATATCAAGCTTGATAACCAAGATAACTCAGGAAAAGCTAGTATATTCAGTTACAGGGAAGAAAATTACAAGACTATTTTTCACATCATCATCCCTACAGTGAAAGCTCAGTAAAACAATTAATTATACCTAGCCTGGGGCTTGTTATTTTAACAACAAAACAGAAATGACAAAATCCATAATAGTCTAACACCTGAAAATTTAACACCATGAGATTTGTGTTCCACAGTTTGACTCATTCCAATTGCTTTTGATACTTGTAGCTTGTTTTTATTGAGAACACAATTGACTAGAATAATTCTGGTAATTGATGTTCGTAAAGCCTCTTCATAGAATTTATTAGAAGTGCAACTGTTGCAGCTCAATTACGTTGTCGCATGGTACAAGTCTTTACCACATAAAAAAAGATGAGTGGGAAATCATTTTACTTTCTACTGAAGACTTATTATTACCAAATTTTTCCAAATGATAACCATACTTTAACCAGACAGAAATCTAATTTGATTTGTTCACTCCTGTGTAGGAGTCAACTTTACCCAATACAGGATGGTTGGGGTGCCGGATGTTAGAATGCATATACTACAGAGGTAACTACAACTGAGCATGTCAAAAATGACATAAAAATGAAACAGTTGCACTTCTAATAAATTATAAACAAATTCAGTTTTGTGTAGTATGTGCATTGACACTTTAGCAAACTGACATTCCATCCATTTTCTAACCACTTTTTCCAATTCAGGGTCACAGGGGAGCCTGTCCCAGCAAGCAACAGACGCAAGGCAGGATAGAGCCTGGACAGGACAATCGTCCATCACAGGGCAGACACATACACACACCAGTAGAGGGGCCAGTCTACCTAGATACTAATTAACCTACCAGTATGTATTTTGACTATAGGGGGAAACTGGAGCACCCAGAGAAAACCCATAAAAAAATGGGGAAATAGCACCCAAGATAGCACTCAAGGTCCAGAATCAAACCCAGGAACCCAGAGGTAGCAGACTAACCATTGTGCCATTGTACTGCCCCTCAAACTAGCAAGACAGAAGTAAATTCATTATTCCTGTTAACATTGGTCTTTAATGGGGGTGAACAACAGGGGGTCTACTGTAAAAGTCACAGATTACTAGAGTGTGTGGCTACTGTTACAAGCCGTACATATGCAATATATGTTTTGAACTCAGTGGCAGATGCTGTCTTGTGCTCCTCTGTCCCATTCCTCTCACGTAGCCTGGTATACAAGCATATACAGTACCTGTTCCTTGAGCCCTGCATGCTATGTCATTCTACCACAACCTAAAAATATTTAATGGTCCTCATTTCTGGAGAAGAGGGTGTTGATGTCACATCACATCCTCAACTTGCAAGAAACCTGATGTTACACAAGAAACAACAGGACATGCATTAACCTGCTGGAATATTGTCATGTAAGGATAGGCCCACAGGAGAGGTAATAAATGAGATCTCGGGACCTGAGCAATGTAGAGCCAAAATGTCACATCGTCATCAATCACCTGATCCACCCGAGGTGACTTGAGCCAGCCTCAAACATACTTGTGGCACAAAGACATAATAAATAGGTCTTATTGTTTCTTTTCCCATACTTGATTTTCTCCAGGCTTGAAATTCAACAGGTAACCTCATCACCTGTGCCTACTCAGCTGTCTCACTAATGAAGTGATTCAGTGGTTATGCAATAATGTGACCAGAGCACATCACATCTAAAAGATGCCAGAAGCATTTAATATTCATAATACACATACTTTTTCTAAATACATGCTAGAATTAAGTTTGATTTTTATACTCAGGATACATTTAAAACTGTGAATTTTGTGGTAAGATTTGCATTCTAGACAGCATTGACTTAAACTTCACATTTGAGAGGCTGGATTGAGACTTGCAAGGAAAAGCATAAGATATTCCTTCAGCTGGGATGAGAAAATACATTTCATGTACTGTAGGCACAAAATGTCACTTACAAATTCGATTCAACCCAGAAGAGAAAGCTTGAAAGGAGTTGTTTCTTTCACTCTTATGTAGTACCTTTTATTTATAGAGCACAGACACAAGAAGAGGTGAATCAGTACACTGCCTCTTTGAAATTGAATAACATAACATCACTTTATTAGCCCTGTACAATTTCTTGCATTAGGAATTTGTCTTTTCGCATACCCCAACTTGCTCTTCATGAGACACACAGACAGGGAGAGAAGCCTGGGATCAGAGCACAGGGTCAGCCATTGTACAGTGCCCCTGGAGCAGCTGGGGTTAATGGCCTTGCTCAGGGGCCCAACAGAGTAGGATTCCTCTGCTGGCTGCGGGATTTGAACCGGCAACCTTCCAGCCACAGGCGCAGATCCTTAGCCACAGAACCACTAACACAAATATTATTCAGATGTGATTTTGAAGCTCAATGGAGTATTACTAACAATCTGACTTTTAAGGAGTATTTTATTCAAGATAATTCTATGCCCAGAATGAATTTAATTTGCTTGATTGTGAAATGATAAAAGAGTTTTGTTTTGTGTCGAGTTGGAACTAAAATTTGCTAGTCATGAGAATCATGTAGTCTTGAGATCAGACCACAGGTTAAAAACTGGAATGGTAAATCTTCAGTCTCTTCTGTTTAACATGTTTCAGCCTGACCCCAGGTTACTGTCAAGTTTTCCAAGGGGAAATGAGAGTTAGTCTTGCACTGTTACACCCTGTTTTATCATGCACAACTCCAGGTCAGAATTAAAGTACCTAGTTATATCAAAGCAATTTATGCACCAAGCAGCTTAATTAATGCATGCAGCATTACTGGATTTGCAGTTCATTAGGAATCTTAACAGTATCAAAGCAAACAGAATGTTCTAATTTTAATCCGTGCTCAGTTTTTTCTGCTCTAATTGTTTAATTAAGTGTGCTATGAATGGTTCGTTAAAAATCCCATCACTTGGGAGTTGACCAAAGGTTTGTTCATCACTGCAATTAACACATCTCTATGGTACAGCTATTTTTTGTCTGACTAAAAATCTTTAACACTTCATGGTCAGGATTGGTTTTCAACTGAGTAATTTTAACACATTTAATATATGCATGTATCTTTACACCAGACATAAAATGAAGCAGAAGCTAAGCAACTTTATTTAATGATAGACTATCTGCACATTATACGGTGGCTTAGGACTTTCACAGATTTATGGTGCATTCATCAGACTATAGTGGACAAACTGCATGAATTCATTGTTGTTGTTCTCATTTTAATATGGCAGGCTAACCTCTGTGCATGTATTTTTATAAACGATCTAAACAGTCTGTGACAGCCACCTGCTGTGAAGCTCGTTTTGTGAAAATAGCAAAGGCAAGGTTAGGTGCCACCAAACTGATGTATATGTCACATGTGCCCTGTGGCACACAGATGCCGACTGTGTTTGAGGGTTTGTGTCCAAGGAAAAGAAAAATAGCTATCGTCTTGAATTATTAACAAGGACAATAAATGATATTAGCTGTACAATGTCATTGACTGCTAACCAGCAAGACCGAGGAAAAATAAGATCCCATCTGGGAAAAAGGATTTTTTTTTTCTTCCACCAGGACAGCAGGTACACAAATTCCAATTACACACTAATACTTAAGTTTAAAACACATTTTTAAGTATATGTACTGAGTTCAGAGACTAACTGGAATGGTCCGATAGGTTTCAAGCTGGATTTGAATGTAGCATCCCCAAGGACTACTCTATTAAAAAGGTTTTGTGAAGAAGACAAACCATAGGCACTCCAATGATTATGGAAACTGAGGAGCAATTTGCTTCTCACAGGGCTGCATATTGAGATGTCCTTGACTTACAGCAGCTGTAACCTTGCACCAAAGTGCTTTAAGTCTTGGTACTTACCTTCAACAAATGGCTTACCATGGCAACAGTGATATTTCACACAAAATAACTACAGTACAGTGCATAAATGTTTCTTGCATTAGAGTTTATACAACATCCACTCAGTGACTACACATCAATATCTTGTAAAAAAAAGAGTTCCTGTGGTGGGAAAACTCTTTAATGAGGGAATTATTAGTTTTATTCTAAAGAGGCATTATACTTTTGTTCTATTAAACACTGAACAGTATTAATCTAGAGATCATTCTGCAGTTCTTGAGTTGTTTGGATATTCTACATATTGACATGAAAATGTCAGAAACATTTACAAAAATGTCCATCTGTTTATCTAATTTTCACAAAAAAAGCAATGGAAATGTGTAGAGTTTGCTACACACAAAGCCATTGATATGTTCCATAGATTCCTATCATATCCTATCTTTATTTAAAAAATAATTTCCCCTGTAATTGGTTTTAATAAGTGTTTATATAAAATTATAATTATATAAAAGTTTTAAACCTAGCAAAATGATGACTTTAAGGACAAATATTGTGCAATTTCTAGATGTCATACAGTACATGTTTTATGAATACAGGCTCATAGGAACTACAGTGACATTTAAACCTTATACTAAAAGCTGTTTTTTTCATGTCCATAGCTTGTCATGTGACATAAAAACATAAAAAATATTGAAAGGGTTAAACTGAGCATAGGCTACAAGACACCATTCAGTAAGTTACACAGGAACAGCTCTTCCCAACACAAACCATGGGAGACAAGATGACAAAAGAAATCAAGAATTTTACTTCAGACTCATAAACTCTACTTTATTTCCATACAATAATCATTGCATCTTATGGTCCATGTCCCATACAATACATTCAGTATATACATTTGGCGAAGAGGGACTGTATGGATATGTTCGATTAGTGCATACATGAAAATGCAATCACACTCACACACCACTCATTCCCAAGTGTGCACCCATCCAGCCATTATGCAACTGCACACTTTAAAACACTCAAAGCTTCTGAAAGTACAATTGTGAATTCACAAGAAAGAATTACAAAAATGCTACTCATTCTGATTTCTAAAGCTCCCCCCCTGGTATGTATTTCACCCAGTAAAGTCTGCTAATATACAGTGAATCTACACCAGATAAAATCCTGAGAAGTCTGTACTGACCTCTCTTTAGTTTCAATGGCAGTTTAATTCGGGATTGCTTCCTAGAGAGGACAAAAAAGCACACTTTTCTTCCTTTCTGCTGGAAGATATAAATGGGGTCACATAAGCTCATAGCACTGTCCATCAACTATTTGTATTTTCAGATTGTATTTTAAATACAATTTAAATGGCATACAAACACATCTGGTTTTCAGGCAACATGGGTGATACAGGAGTAACCGGAAACAAATGACCCAGATTAGTTCACAAAGTGCATTATGTATGATTACATCTAGTGCCTTTTGGGGTATAAAAGATGAACCAATTTTCATGACCCTATGCAAAATTTCAATAGAATTTGTTTCATCTTTTCTGTCCCAATAATGAAAATAATTTATTATAGGACACAAACATTTCTTGAACTGCATCCTTCATCCTTGCTTATGCAAACTAACTTGTAAAAGTTATTCTTCCACTGACAAATTAATGGATCTGGAGTCTATGTGTAACCAACAGAATGCATGAGGTTTGTAGTGATGTACAGTATATATTGTAGAAAACAAAATTAACAAGGATGTCAACTCCATGAGAATGTTAACTTAAATAGAGAGCATTTTACTGTTCAAAACAGTACCATTTCAGTACCAACAGTTTTTTTTTTTTTTTTTTTACAGTTTGCTGTTCCGTTCATTCTCCTTCCTCAAGACTCAGGCAAGATCGGACCTTGCTAGCTGACTGCTGTATATAAATCATAAAAAGCACTTCTCTACTGCTAAATTAATTCTAATGTTCCTAAACAAGTCATGACTTTTCTATCACAATGTTTTAACCTATGAACAGCAGGTGAAAATCAGTGGATGTCAGACTCCCTTTACCTTTCCATCAGCACAGTCTCATGACTTCACTGTGCCCACAGCCTCTCCATCTGTACTTATTGTCGACTTCACATTTAAAGCAGTTCACATTAAACATGTACATTGCACCTCTACAGACGGAGTCAAAAAAGCTTGGACTGATTTCATAATTAAAGCTGTTCAGTTTCGTTTTCTACCCTTTTCTACAGGCAAAATGTTACAGCCCTCAATCATAGTGTAACAGGTAACATTTCAAAATGAAAGTAAAGTGAAATCACAAAGCCACTATTTCTTGCATTAGCAGATTATATCACTATATGCTGAGACACAATTTTGTGCTGGTATCTGCTTGTATGTAGAGATGCATACAGCGTCTCCAGCACACATAATTTATACAATTTATGCAAATACTGATTTTCTACATCCAGTCCAATAGCTACATACAAAAGAAATTTCTGTCCACTGCTACAGTAGTGAATACTTTAATCATGTCACAAGTTTTCAGCCCCATGTTTATGGCAGTTGCCTATGCTTTAATTATAGGTGAAGATAAATCATGTAAAGAATAATAAAACCCAAAGTTTTATGATACTGAATAATATTTTTCCTTGATAAAGGTTACAAATATCTTCATGTAAGGCAGAGAGCGGTAACTGATTGATTTGGATTTGTTTGGATTCAAATTAAACAGTATTGTTGTTTTACAACGTTAATTACCTAAAAAGAGAAATGGTCTTTAACTTACTGGGATTACTCCAGTAAACATCTGACCTTAACAGCTTTCTCCTTTTGGCATTGCAGTGCTGTCCTGTGGAGAACATCTTTCCATTGGCAAGATCTTTTCTACATAGTTAAAGAAAAAGAATAATGTGCAAACTACTGTGTAATGAGCAAATATGCCTTTCCCCAGAAGGCTTTTATTTCTCATTTAAATTGCTTTTCCCATTATTCTTTAACCGCATTATAAATCTTGAAGATCAGCTCAACCAATCACGACCTGAGGAGAGTATTCATTAACTCTGTGGGCTGATGCTTGCTGTGTATAGAAACTTCAGCCTAACTGCAGTCTGATACACATACAGTAAGAGAGTTGCAAACCCTTCTTTTTAAAGCCTCTTTCTTGGTACGTCATGGTTTGGTAGGCTTTATCCTTCAGATATCATACAATTATTGTTGCTCTCTGCTTCAGCTGGCTTTGTTATTGCAAACTGGACTCAATGGCTGCTGATATAAACAACAATTCCTGTCCTTTACACTAAAATGAGCACAGAATTTCTCCTCAAGAATACATTAAAAGGAGCAATGCCATCTGTGTCCTGGAAGTGCAACCAGAGATGCAGACTGCTTTACTTTTCCTTAGAGTAGAAACTATGCCAACACTAAATGAGCACATCTCCAGCTACTGCTACAAGCCAAAAGTTGCATGGGTGTCTCATTACAACTACCTCACTGGCAATGAAAAGAGTGAGGGGCTTCACCGCCAATCCCCATCACTGAGAGGACTCGAGACAATTTCCTGAACCTAAACGATAAAATATAAGTTAACATCAGCATTCTGAAACAAGTATAAACTCGATGATTGTACCAGATCATGCAGTATGATAGGAAATGGGGTTTAAAAACAATTTATTTGCCTCACAGGCTTTGCTTTTCTGTTTCAAGTGGGATTTAAAAAAAACATTTAAATATGTGGTGCAGAGAACAGAGATAAGTGTCCATTTACACAGTTCCTATGGGGAACAAGGGTATTCTGGTAAATCAGTTTTTTTGCATAATTACTGTTTCACTGCCGATTCCTTGGTCAAATGTGGCCTTTAACTACCCTGAGGCTATAAAAGAATTAGGGCATTGAGGCTGTAACTAATCAAGACAAGGCTGGAGTTCTCTTCAAGGGCAGGAAAAATCTGAATCGCACTGCAGTGCAGGGTGTAGTACTGCTTTCCTGTACAGCCCTCTCCAAAGCACAATGACAATGAAAATAAACCCAACACTGCTATTCAGGTTCCAACAACTTGAAACTAATTTCCTGTAAACTTTCTCCATAATTATATGTCATTTGAAATGAAAGAAAAAAGTAAGTTATTTCATTAGGCCTTTCTTTGCTCAATTTACTATGCAGATTAAGGATTAACCAATACCGCGTCATACTAAGATTGAGTTGGGCAATAACATTAACAACTACACCTACAGCCCTGTTTATCAGAGCTATTTTAATAGTGTAATTTTGTTTTTTTTTTAATCATGTGGAGGATTACATATAAAAACAGTATTGTGTAAATTACTGCTAGAAAAAAGTCAATATTTGTAATTCCCTTGTACCTACTGATCCAAAAATGGCTGAATGAGATTGATTTTCTGAGGTAGACATTGCAGGTAAATTTAATTCATCCACTTCAAAGTGGTTCCAATTCAATGGTGTAGAAGTTGATTTCACTCATTTAAAAGGATCTTTACTTAGCTTATCTTTAAAAATGGTGAAGAACTATAAAGGCAACAAATGCATCTTTTTTCAGAAAACAGCTTTTCACTAGTTAAATTCAAGTAGCCGTGGTTAAAATGGTAACGTGTTTTAAAGTGGACTCCTTCACATTTACCTCCTCAGATGGTGACATCATATTAGACACACTTATTAATGGTCATGTTGCCACTTACTATATGGCATGCAATATTAAGTGCACTTTATTCCTTTGAAAATTCATCATGTATTTGTAAGCAAAGAGCTTATTTAAAACATCACTATTCTATCTTTTAGCCTTTAGAATTAATGATTTATGTACACTAGCAATATTTCATGTCCTTTACAAGTATAATCCATGCCAGCAGAAACTTACCCCACCTTTAGCCTTACATTATGTAGTAGACCACTTAGCTAAAGTAATTAAAATAATTTAAGTGTACAAGACTGAATTGTACTCAAAGTAAATTAATCAGGGGATAACCGCTTTAATCCGGCAGATGTGTGTGAATGTTGTATATATCTATTTAGGAGCATTCGTGTCAAGCAGACTCTTGACAGCTAAAAAACAATATAAAAATGTCCCAGCAGGCAAATATTTCAACTGCAACACTCATTCATAAAACTCTCCAATACTGTTGGCATAAGGGTATCATCTTAAAAATCATTGCTCTATTATCTTTTAAAACGGTGAATTTTAAAAGCCATATTTTTATTTAACAGATTCGTACACACACAAAGTCCAGTAGCATTATTATGAATATTTTTAAAGTTTTGATAACCCCTGAATTATACTCTGTACCACGTAAAAAGCACGGGCTCTCAGAAATTTGAAAGATCACTAATGTCATCACATCTTCTAGAGAAATTTAATACTGTATGCAAATCTGATGAAAGCTGCTTTGAAATGTCGATGTACTTAATTATAAAGAACCTTTTAAAAGGGCAGCATTCCAACATCCTTGTTAACTCACCAAATTTCCAATTCAAATTTAACTACTGAAGGCAAACATAATTCTAAGGACTTTTCACAAAATGTACATGTGTGAAAAATCTTGCTGTAACCACTCACATTAGCAAAAGAAAAATACAAAAATAAATCACTAAATCATCATTAAGTTTTTAATAATGTAACGTTTATTTATCTTACCTGAAACCACTGCTTCAGATTAAATGTAGAAATATTTACTACTAGCCAATGCTTGCTGTTAACTTTTTTTCCCCCCCAAACAGGTATATACCAAATCAACTCTTGATTTCACAACTAATTTCTTCAGAAAGTGGGATAACTAGCTTCAGAAAATGGTGTCACTTCTTGATTTTTCTGGTAATGTGTGTAGCAGAAAGGGGTGTAACAGACAGATTTGAACAGGAAGAAATCTTTTTGTCATAGACAGCATGGGACTTTCTAATCTAGTTCTGTGCTTTAGAAGTTACATAAACTGTTCAACACAAATATTGAAGACTTCATACAGCCCCAAATTAATCATTAATGAAATGTAACCAAACAAAATAGTGCAGTGGAGCTCCAGGACCAGGACTGGCTACAGACGATCAGAGGAAGTTCTTGAAATGACCTTCATGTCAACCACGAAGTTGACATCACTACAACTGTATTGAATCTGCCTTGCAATAAAGTTAAAAGGCACTTTCATTTGGGAATTTAAACCACTGGGAAACATGCACAGTGAAACTTCTTAATACTCTAAAAAGCACTTTGTTCAGTTTAAAAGGATGAAAAGAGAAATCAAATTCAATAACTAGCAACCTGGGGTGACTGTGGTTTTGTTTTGGATTTGTAATCCCTAGTTTAGATTCAAATGTCACCAAATAGGTTGCATTTACAGTATGACTAACACTATCGTTGTTATCTGTTCTAATTTTCAAGTTTTGCCCAGAGACAGTTTAGGACTGTATTGCAGAGGGTCCTTACAACTGAGGTACATCATTTACAGTATATTTATTCAGCTAGTTGCAGAGGAACAGCATTTCCCCAAACAATGAACAATTTCCCCAGATCAAGGACTCTCTACGAGCAAGATTTCAAACATGAAAGAAGCGGTTAAGGAACTCAGACTCTCTCCTGTAACATTTCATGAAAGATGTTACATCATACCTATATTATAATTTTTTTCTCATTTCGTTACCACTTCCCAAGTCCAAAACTGATGTCCACAACACTAAAGCACTCACAAATAGTGTTCTACTGAAGTAAAACCTGTTCCATGTTTGAAGAAAGGAATAACAAGCTGTTAAAATGAGAAAAAGTTAAAAGCAACTGCAATGGTACATGTCAAACTGAAAAGGGGTCTTAAATTTTTAATTGCAGATGGAGAAAAAAAATTGTGAGGAAAAACAAAACATGAATCCAGAAACATTTGTGATATCCTGAGGTCAAATTGTTAACCATATGGTTTGAAATACCATCAAAGTTGTTCATTTAAAATTACCAATGTGTCTCATTAAAGGCTTCGTTCAGTTCCTTTCATTAAATACCACACATTACACTTCAGTGCAAAACAGTTGCTACATCTGTCTTTACTCACTGAGCCAGTGTCAATTAAGTTTATAGTCTCTAATCATTCTGTGTAGAATAAGCATTACCAACAATACAGATTTGCAAGTGTGGTGTGGGTAATTTCCAAAATAAAGGAAGAATTCAGTAAGTTGAGATTTTTATGCACCTCAGCCAAAACCAACCTCCATCAAGCACAAGGTATTCTCAATATAGTTTTCTTTACTATCCCTCTCACTGCAGAACATGTTAATTTAGGAAGGTATTCTAAAGGCCTAAAAGGAATGCATGAGAGACAGATCTTGTTGACACTGCAGTAGGCAAAGGACACTGGATACTTCACTCGTCCAATCAGTGAGTAATACCGAATAAACGCATCACTGTCATTAACCAGTAATGAACAACACTACCTGCCTATCTGCTTCTTGTCTGACATTAAGATAGAAAGAAAGTTATTTTATTCACAATTATCATCATGGATATTATTAATAATTTATGCACACACCTCCACGCACACACACCCCATCAATAACAAAAAATGCAAAAATAATACAGGCAACTAAAGAAACTAGTCTGGTTTACTAGTTACCTCTTCACCAGACTGGTGTCTGTTAGTTCCTGCAGATTTTATGATTGGGTGAAGTAATGGGAAACTCCACAGATCCAGACAGTCCCAGGAAAAATGACCTTTTAGTTGTTGAGAGGAAGTGACATTCAGTGGCAGGCTCTATATCTGCTGCCCTCTAGTGGTGGCCCTCTCCTTTGCAGGAACTGCGCTATAGCGTCCTAATCGCCACAGGGTAGAGCAGGGACATGTGCTCAGCCCCCTTGATTGGCAACTTTCGACTTGAGTAGAAGTGAATTATCTCAGGTACACTGTCAAAAGGAGAGCTGTTCTGTCCAAGGATGTACTTGTTCTCTTTGGTTCTTGACAGTTTCATGTGCATGAAGCCCTGGTTACTCCTGTGAAAGAAACACAAAGAAGAGTTGGTAAATTGAGTGAGTCATGGCTTCTTAACACAAACACAATTAAAAACCAGGCCCAAGATTATTTTGTGTCGTTTTACCCAAAGCACAATGAAGCTGCCTGAGATTAAAGTATTTGAGATTCCCAGTGTAGTATCAGTCATACCAGATCAGTATGACTAAATGGAAAAGGTTCTTATATGCATATCTAATTTATCTGGGGGTAATTCATGCTCTATTGGACTACGCATATGCTTTTAATACAGTAGTATCTTTCATGGCCACCTTATTAAAATTTGTTTGTCAAACCACCCATTTGTGGTCAAATCAAGCACTGTTTCTGCAATACAATAAGTATCCAAACATCATTAACTTAGGTTGCTTATTCTACAGCTGACTTGAGAGGATCATATGGAAACAAAGTAGGTCACTGCTATGGTGGGTTGGGAAATAAGATTAAAAATAATTTATATTACTTTAGTACTACTCTGACATGAAATTTAAAGAAAAAGCGCAAATTATTGAATATTTTAAGCAGCAGACTACATCATCAATACGATATGTACAACAAAATACTGTGAGTCATATAAAATTATTTGACACCCGAAGGAGGCTCCATAGCCAAAACATTGTTTCCTTTCTTCTCTTTTCAGCATGGAATAAACCCATTACTTGTTCCTTAAAATGATTTATGCTTCAAAGGTGCATTTATGCCTCACATATATGAGCAAATGCTTATTAGAGTACTTCCTCAGATACATGGTGCAAGTTATCCCCTTAAAATTGAAAAATTATAGCAAGTAAATCACACCGAACTACTGAGACCTGTCTAAAATAAGAAATACTGTCACAGGACTGTTTAAACTGCTAATACTAAACCAAGCCCTGACTCTATAAGATAACTAGCTAGTCATAAACATGTAGATGTTTCAGAAGAACAATGTTTTATTATAATAATAATAATATTATTAATACTAATAACTGCTGAATTACATACTTGGCAGTTATGCACAAAAGAGACATTAGGCCTACAATGAACAGCTGTCAAGTTCAGTACTCCAACATCAAGACCAATGCAAAAAATATATAGACAAAATAGACCAGATAGATAGACCCTTTGGTCCATCTTAACAGTTCCATCTAATGACTTTCATAATTACATTATACACCAGGACTTTATAACATTATTATAATAAGAACAATAATGCTTTAAATGGACAAAGTTTCATCCTTGAGCAGATTTCACACTAAGGTTGTCTTGGAATCTAATGCAGGAAACATAACACATTGGACTGCACTGTCAGGGAAAAAAAAGTAGATGTTGGGCATCTTTAATGATCCATAATTATATTTTCACTTATTGCTCATGACCTTTGTGGGACTTGGAGCTTGTCCGGAAAGTTCATAAAACAGGAAACAAACCTTTATTAATAACCATTTACAGTATGAATAATAAGCCTTTATGAATAACAATGTGGACATTAAAGCTAAAGAGATTAAAGATTTATGAAAGTAATTAACATCAGAGATTTTTTTTTATAAAAACAAATAAGTCACTCTTCATTGAAAACAAGATTTGTGGAATGTTTTTCAAAGTCCAAAACAGGAATAAATGTCCATCGTGGGAAGAGTACAGAATAATAGATCATTTTCGTCAGTACTGTTTAGTGCTGATTTTTCTCACTCACTGATGTCATGTAATGCTCAGCACTCTTGTATGGCTGTTTGTCGCTAAAGCAGAGATGCCAAGTACAATTTTATCAGAAAAAAACAGTTACGTAAGCTAGGTTGAATTGTAATGTTACAATAATTCGACGTGATTATTCATTCCTGCCTTTTTTCCTATCCATCCACTTCATTTTTGTAAAATGCGATTTTTCAATTGAGATTTATGTATCTAAAAAGTATGGAGATAAAGGTGCGGTTTCATTAAATGCTTTAACAACTCCACCAATTATATGAAAAAGGACTAATCTGTACATCTCACAACATGAGTACCTTATTCCAGTACAGTCCCCTTCAATTACATTAAAGATAAATAATCACTAACTTAACACACTGACTGGACTGTTAACTGGATATAACCAGAACGTTAATAATGTTGTCAATTATCACACTTAATCCACAAACAATTCTTGAAGATATAATAAAAGGTAATGCTTGCTATGCTGCAAAAATTGGTTTAACAGAGTTAAAGCTGCCTAGATCTGCAACAATACCAACATCCCACAAGCATTCCTGCATTTCAAGACACACTGACACAGTTACAATCATCCTATTTCAGAGAAATTAAGGAAAGGACAGAGTTGCTTATTATTTTCATGAACAAAAAATAATTTACGGAACTGAAACCAATACAGTGTTAATTTCTGAAACAACAAATACATAGATTTCTGAGAGGGAATATGTCACTTAGCGCTGTGCTCATTCTGGAAGCGTATCTGTAGCAGGCACGCTGTCAGTCCCCTGTGATTAACGTTTGGTCTGACAGCTCTGTCCTGCAATGATAGATAAACCTCAAAGACGGCAGGGCAGCAGTGCTACACAGACCAGCACAAAACAGTTGGGAAGAGAGAGCTGGAAGCTTGGGCAAAGTGCTGATAGTCTGCTGTCAATCTCTTATCATACTCTTGTCACATGACTTACTGACTTGCACACAGTAGATACAGTGACTCTCAGCTCAGTCTGTACTATATTTGTCATCTCTGATTTCTCCTTTCTTCCAGTTTCATGTCTTTACCATATTTGCTTTTGAGGCTTTTTGTTTTTGCTTAGATTGTTTGGCACAATAAAAGTTCAAGGTTAATTGCGAATGCTTTTAAATCAAAACTTTAACACATTTTAACACAGCTGAATTTCGCAATCAACCATTAAAATAACATCTGTTTGAAGGTGTGTCAATGGAACTTTTTAAATTCAAAGAGATTGTTAGGTTGCTACAGTTAAAAAGCCCGTCAACAGAACCATTCCAGCTTTGTCAAAACTACTTATTCGAGACCCAGGGGGCATAATGTTAACACTTGGATGCAGAAAAATGTAATTAGTATGTCATTTCAGATATGTTGCTTTTCACCCAAAGTTGATAAAATAGGAGCTGGCAGTGCAGTTGGGAGGATTAAAAACAAACTTTGCTACTAGATTAAATGAAATCCTTCTTCCAAATTTATAATTACACTCAATTTTATAATCTGTTTTATGAGGATTCTGTAGTAGAAATACTGTGAAATGAAAGGGGTGGGAGCTACTTTTGATTTACAATAACACATTTCAGATACTCACAAAGGTCATGTTATGACACACAACAAGCAACAAATTTACTATTTTAAACTCTTGATCATGTCCTCTACCTTGTCAATTATATTCTACACTTGAAATTTTTAAAAAATGACAATAATGAAAAAAAGACAGTTAGATACTACCAGCAAATACCATGTGAGACTGTAGCCATAGATTTTAAGAGATGAAAGTCCTCAACTTCGCTGTGCTGCCTACACTAATTCACTTCGTATAGCCATTTTTCTGTTGCTTGCATAATTTAAAATGGCAGTTAATTTAAGGGTGTACAATCTCATTTCCGTTTGTGACCCAAGTCTGAGCCCTTGCATATTCTGATATTAAATATGAAATCAAAAGTCTATTAGCTTCCTGCTCTCTCCAATGAACCAGATAAATAGACTTATTTAAATCATTCTTAGCTCATACAACATTTTGATTGGTGACTTTAATTACTGATACTCAACAAATTACAAAATGATAAATGCTAAAAAATCTTTTTATTGTATGTAACTGTCAATTTCTTAAGATGTTGTATTTCAAGCCACATCTCACGGTGTTGTGACAAACTGACCATGGACTTTTTAAAGAAATTATGGATAAATGGTGGAGGCACAGATTAGGATAAAACTACTTATTCCTTTGAGCACAGTTTAGTTCATTGCTAAGATGTGAAATGTGTATTTTATTATCCAGACAATACTTAGCTCCAAACTCAGCCACCGGACAAGAAGAAAACCGACAAAATATGTTATTGTAAAGCCAACAGTGACATTGAAAAATTTTCAGAATTCAGATTCTGACATGGGAGTCACTGTTCATACATCAACAAGATCTGTTCCCTACATAAAGCTGGCCTGTATGGGTAAAAATAAGACTTTAATTAAAAAGACTCATACAAGCTATACTGCAGATGTGGCATGAGGTTGTATGGTCAGATTAGACAAATTCAAGTTTTTCATTTAAATGCAGAGCTTTACATCTGGAGAAAGTATAGTACATCACCCAACAGTCAGACCATCTCGACTATAAAGCATAGTACAATAGTAGCATCTTGTTATAGAGATGCTTCTCATCAGCAGGGCATATGAGGCTTGTCAGGACGGACAGGAAAATGGATGGTGCACAATACAGGCAAATCCTAGAGGAAAACCTGCTTGACTCACTCAAGAATCTAAAACTGGAAAATCAAATTTCAGCCTGACAATAACCTAAAGCACAAAACTAAAGCCACAGTGAAAGGGTCTGACGAGAAGAAAGTAAAAATCCTTGAGTGGCCTGACTTAAATCAAATAGCAATGAATGATGTAATTTTTAAATGTCAGTCAGAATGAAATTTCAACAAGCTGGAGCAAGAAGAATTAACAAAATTACACCATACCAGTGCACAATCTGGAGACCTCTTCAAAAATACTTACTGTACATCAGTAGGTGCCGCTAAAGGTAGTGACTTAAGAGGCTGAATACTTATGCAAAGTGAAATATTCTGATTGCATATCTTCCCAAGTTTTGCTAAAAAAAAAAATCAACCTCCTTCACACTTACAAGTGTTTGATTGATGTTTTGAATAAACAATGTTAATTTGAGAACAATTATATACATTGCTTGAAATGTATCAAAAAGTAACACTGGAATGAAGTGAATACTTTTGCAAGACACTGTAATCTTTGTCCAAGCCCTACTGAACATTGCAATGGGAATAACTTTTTATATTCTTATATATTATATAATTATATATTTGCCTGTATATACTTGACCATGTCTACTGTAAGAAAATTCAACCTTTTGTCTATATATTTACCCACAGCAAAAAAGTCTGGCCTCTGTGGTACAACTGCACGCCTAGTGACAAAAAATAATGCAAAAAAGTTCTGGAGCATTAGATTTATAATTTAGTCATAAATGAAAATGTAATTCTCTTTCTAAAAAAGAAAATACAAATACATGCTATTTCTAATATTTTTGTATAAATGCACATTTTAGAGCTGTAGCGACATTAAAGAAAGGACAGAAAATCATATAACCTATAAAATGAGCACAATGAACCCATTAAAAGCAATTAAATATTTTCAATGGTGTATATTGTTCCCATAAAATACATCAAATTGCTGAACAGACCTGTAAATTTCACAACTACCACATTCCTTAACATTCTTAAACAGTGATTTAAAGCCAGCCACAACCCACTATTATTAAAATTGTGATGGGGATATTAAACTTTCAATAAAAGTTCCCTTTCTATAACTTGACTTATTTTCCTGTTCTGCAGCTCTTACAGAGAAGGTTCGATTTCACATTATTTTAAAAAGAACATTCATGTATCAGATTAGTGGCAGTAGTTTGTTTCTTATTAATGAGCTTGTTCTATCACCATTCATTTGCTACTGGCTTCTTGAATCTTGAGAAAAAGCAGTTTATGACTATTATTTAGATTTTCCGGAATGTTCAGATAGACTTTAGAAGCTAACTACAGTAGGTCCATAGGTTTTCATGCACAAACTGTTTGGTGGTTTGTCTGTGGGGAGCAAATAGCAGCTTTGCCTAGTTGCTTCAGTTCACAAAGAAAATATATATTTTTAAGCCTTGGGGAACACAGATAAGCTCCTGCTATAAGCTCCGCTTGTCGTTTTAAATCTCTCAACCAATCCCACACGTACAGCTTTGAGCTACATAAGAGATTTGTTCTTCTGAACTGATTAGCAGGGGACAGTCTACTGTGAGCAAGGCCGACGACAGTACAAAGGGCCACACCTGTAGCCTACACCGATATGAAAAATCCACCCACACACCACTGCCCATATGTGCTGCTGAGAAAACTAATAATCATTTAATATTTACATATATGACCATCACCGGGGTATGCTTAACTGAGGATTCTGCTTTGTGAAGTCTGTTTATCAGCCATATCCAACAGTGCAAAAAAAACAACAACCCGAGTCTGCCAACTGTTAATAGAAATGTCATTTACAGTTTTCCTTACTATTGCAAGGAGCATAAATCTCCTTGATAAGAATTCTTATCAAGAATTATCGCAAAATAACACTTATTTCTTACGTCCTATTTTTACTCTTGCATTGTTCCAGCTTTTATATTACTTACATAAAGCCATAGTAATTATTTTGTTTACATAGACATCTGAACATTATTCATACCAGGTCAGACTTTTCTTAAGAGTGGAACAAACTCTACTTATTTTGTAGCTTTCTTAATGGAAATTTGGCACAAACGAAACTAATCTTCTACCCAATTTTCTACCTAAGAAGAAATCTTCTATCCAAATGCTAGATGAGCTCACACCATTAATACAAAGGTCCATTGTTATTCAAATACATTGGCATTAGAGTCATTTCAGGCAGTTTTCACTATGCAATTTACCATGATTAGCTTTGTCTTCCGTAGCTCTTTTTTCCCCTTCTTTTAATATCTTTGTAATGATACCTTTGGTAAAAGCAGGACTGCTATGACAGAGTTTTCTAAAGATGCTTATGAAACACCAGGACTTAGCTCTTTAGGATGTTTCGTTAATCAGGGTGCCTGATCTAAAATATTTCTCAAGAAATTGATGTTCAATTATAAAAGGTTATGATGAAATTCAAAGCTTCTGAGCTTTCATTTTTTAAAATAATGAGAATTGTGAACATGTTGTGCAATTAGGACTTTCTAACATCTACATGCAAGGACATAAGATTCACAAAATGAAAAAGGGCATAGCGTACCAAGGCACATTCCAATTCATTATAGTAGGCTCTGAATGTGACTTCAAGTAATTTAGCACAGAAAGGTAACAGAACCAAATGGACATCAGATCCATTCATCTTCATTTCTTAAGTCATAGTTCATATAAATCTATATACAAATATCCTTAAGATTGCCAAGTCAATGACAGTATATTTAATTATCTTAGGAAACTGTGCATGCTACTTCAGTCTGAGTCCTCACCAGCATTTGAAAACATGAACACTGCTGTGTTATTAGTCCAGGTACAATACACAACTTAAAACATTTAACATTTAAGGTTGACATCTCAGTCTTTCAATGACAGTAATTTTCTATAGTTTTATTTAAAATACCTTTTAGTTTTATTTAAAATCTGTACCTGCCAATCCTGCCTTTTGAAATTTAAAGTTACATTTTGCTTAATGAACTTCTTCAATGATATTACAAAATAAACTAGGCATTAAAATCAATTTCCCATACACAGGGCTATAGACCAATGGCTTACAAATAATGTGAGATTGAAGAGTGAAGTTTGCAATTTCTGAAGATTTATAACGAAGTTTGAAAGATGCCAAACTGCTGTGTTTACATTTTTTATTCCTGGCTGCTAATTGACCTTAGTCTTTGACAAAATCCAGAAATATTCCCAGTTATCTGATCAGTTAAAAGAAATACGAATGACAAGGAACAGTTCAGAAAACAAAACAAATGGAAGTCAACCTAGAACCAAGAAGGCTCTTAAGAGACATGAACAATGTCTTCAAAAAGCTAATGATGACTTATGAAGTTAAACATGAACATCTCTTTTCACAACATATCCTAGGCAGGAGCAATACCCCGGAAACTGAAGTGAAAGGAAATTCTAATAAGACTAGCAGCATGAGGACAATGGACTAATTACCAACAAAAGGTTGTATACAGAGATTCACTGTTAATCCTCTAACCTAAGGATTTATGTTTTAATACCAAAACTGGTTATTTAAAAAAAATAGAGGAATATAAAAGTATCTGCTGTGATGGACAGGGTTGCCATGCAGAGTGTACTCCCACCTTGCATTATATGTTCTTGGAAAGACTCCAGGCTGCCGTGACCCTTATCAGGAATAATCTGATGGAAAAGATTATTGCCTGGATGAAAAAATAAACGCCTGCACAACTGTCAAACTGTACATCGTGTTACCAATATACATTGTTCACAGACTTGGATGTGGAACACAAACTGTTAATATTTGTTCAATTTCACAAATGCACAGCTGTAAAATTGCATCTGTTTTGAATAATTTGAATAAGAACTAATTTTTGTTCGTTATAGACACTTTGTTGTGGCATTAACCATACACACTCCATATAGAAAAAGCTTAAGTGAAAGAGAATGCAGGCTGAGCACGGCAGAAGCTTACTTGAGGGAGAGAGAATAGTCGTTCTTGCTGGTTTCGCTGTTTCTCACCAGGTAGCTGGCCTCCTTGCACAGACGCAAAAGGTTCTCTGCATCTGTCCTGCTGATGGCGCCATGGTACCAACTGCAGCAGTGGAGAGAGAAGCAAATCACTCAGGAGCGAACTTGAGTTATTCAGAACCTGGACTGGAGAAAATGGGTGAAGACAAATAACTATCTGAAGGAGAAGATGTAAAACTATCAAGTTGAAAAATAAATGGTAAATAGCACTTAAGAAACAGAGAAGCGGCAGGTCAAGAAAGGATCAAATGGAGTTTGACATCAGACATCCGTTTACTGATTTCTGAATGTTCAGGAAATTTCTCGATATTTAAAAGTACAATTTTCATGTCGTTAATGGAATTTCCCTGGTGATTTCAGAACCCATTGACAACTGGTTTTTCAAGATGGCAGAATGGGATGAAAATGAGCAATTTACTTTAGGATTAGAATACAAGCTTTACTCAAAATCCATTCACCAATACTCTCAGAACTGTTGGGCTTTGCAAACAGAGAGTCTTATGCAAACTATGTTAATAGATTGTGGAAAAGAGACAAGACTGCTAAGCAGTTCATAACCTGGAGAGAATTGTGATGAATTTGTGAGGTCTTGTAAAGAAATGAAACAGAACATGAAGACTTTAAATAAACAGAAGAATCACACCACAGTGTTAAACAAAAAAGAAAGCAGAATCAAGTATACAAATTGAACGTTTGGTAGACCACAAAAGCCTGGCCAAAAATGGATAGCATTCTACTCCTGTGAAACATGAAATTGGCTTGTATAACAAAGTAGAAGGAAGCACTTACAACTGGCTCTCAAGGGGAAGGGTGGGGTCGATGCGCTCTCCCAGGGAGGTGCCATGGTCCAGGGAGCCCAGCTTCGTACTCACCAGGCACCCACTTGAGTGCCGCTGAGGTGGGCGTGCCTTGCAGTCCTTGGTTGGTGACACGCGAGACTTCTCAACACCATCAAATTGAACTGGTGGAGCAGACAGACACAGTGTTCAGGAAGACTAACTGACCCCTTTCATACCACCGTTTCAGCTAGTAATTTCATGAGAAATGATAGCAATCTTCCTCGATTTCAAAAAGGACACAGTCTTCACAAGCCATAAGAATTTATTAGACGATCTATCCTTTTGAGGAAGAATGCATCAGTACTTGTAGGCCTCCCTATCGATTGTACAATAGATGCATGGACAAATACAATAAATGTTCTATAACATACATCTAATATATATATATATTTGGGATTTATAGATATTTAAATATCACGTAAAGGTCATTTCTAACATGAAAAGCAGTAAGACAAAAACAATGTTTAGCTGTTGAGCCTTTCATGTGGAAGTAGGTGAGGAGGCTAGCAGGAATATAAAGCACAGGAAAACAAAAGAGGTGAGCAGAGGAGAAAGTATCCAAACAAAGGGAGATCGTGGGGGAGAGATGTGAAAAACTGAAATACGTAAATGGTTTAAAACGTTTTACTGATAATATGATAGAATATGACATATATATTTAAACTATTCAAAGAAAGGATTCAAATATCTTTACAATACTATGTTTTTTTCACACATAATTGGTGGTGTCATTAATATGACATAAATCAAGTGTCATATTAAAATTTGCTGAAACAACCAGTTGCAGAAAAATGTTTTGAAGGAAGGGCCTTTCTACTCTCCAAACACAGGCAACAACCAGGTCTGCTGAAGCATGCAAAGCTAAAATGCAGCAGAATCAGAAGTGTTAAAATTAATTGCACACCCACAATTTTCCTTTGGCGCAAGTACAGACAAGTGCACAGGATGCATAGCAGTGTGCTGAAGACCATCGTCTGCATGACTTCCTTACAGTGGTTTGGAGAAATGATTTGTTTCAAGGGGGGAGAGCCTGACATTTAACTCAACAATGCTGGAGGTTGGGTTCAGAGATGGCTCACCAGATCTGTTTAATTGATTACATTTCATCACCATGTGGAAAAGAGCGTCTTTAGTGGTTGCACATTCCTGCAGTTGCTGAAGTCAATCAAGCTACACTTAAAACACATTTTCACAGACATAAATTGTGCAAGCTGGATAATTTTAAATGGAGTACATCAAAGTTTGTCACTAATTGAAGGAAATTTAATACAGTTGCAATTATTTTTTCTTCCCTTCATCCAGTACTTCCATGATACCCTGTTTCAGGGATTTAATTACACTGAGTCAACAAATATATTTTGCAGAGGAAGAAGCTCTAAATCAAGAGAACAATCATACACCACAACACAGAGTAAAATGTATAGATTTCCTTTCTTGTGGAAAGTATTAAAATCATTAGACATTCTATACAATAGTTATGCTTAGATCATATTTCTATTGCTGCAAAATTTCTATTGCTGCATCTCTTGAAAGCACAAAAGTTCAGGTTAATATTTGTAATGACTAGCACTGGCAAAATACATTTTATACATTTAGTTTTTTTTTACTCTGCAATTAAACTGCTGTACAGGAATATTTGTCATTTTATTGAAAGTACTCATGCAGGAATATATGCAAACATCGAATCTCAGTTAAAGCAAACTGTTTTAAAGAATCAGAATACAGCTCAAGTTTGATCTTTGTTCACACTACTACTTCTAATACTATTGACATTTAGTTTCAGCATCAACAGCACACCCAAAGTCTTCCTTTAGATTAAAATGTCTGTGGTTCGAACCAGTTCTTGCTTCCCTTTACAAACCACCAGGGGTCGCCCTCTACCTCTCGTCTACGGGACTTCACAGATATCTAATGCAATGCATGGAAAGTATCTTTATTACATGAAGAACATGCTTTTTACAAATTACTTTACAAATGTCTCAGATGTTTTCCCACTTTAAAGCTGTGAGATGCAGTTAACAGGGTCTTCTGTTGGAAGCATTCAACTGACAGTCTCTCCACATCACACTGACAGATGAGTTACTTCTTACACCTCCATGGTTTACATGACATCTGTACTCTGAAATGTCTAGAGCAATAACCACGATGATTATATCAAATGCAGCTTTTTGCACCTGCTAAACACTACAATAGCTACAGGCTGACAGAACCACACAGAACTGAAATGTAGAAAACACTTTTGAAATGCTCCAGCACTGAGTAGAAACCCAGAAGAACTGGAATTATCAATATTCCCACTGTAGTGACTGGGCAAATACTATTCCTGTTTCTAATGTATGTGTTATGCACAAGTGAGGTTGTCAGTTTCCATGGAAACTGGGGAAATGTGTGAAAAGGATACTGTCACAACCTTCCGGTCAGCATTGAAGGAAATATGACAATGTAGTACTCTATAGGGACTGTGTGCTCACCACTGCTGAAGCTACTATTCTTCTGAACTCATAACACTGTTTAGACAGACGTAACAGTGGAGCATCAAAACTACATTTATAAACTGCGGTGTACTTAAAAATAACTCAGTTCTTTCTTGTTCAAAGAAAAAGGCTACTAGTATTGAAGTGATTTTGTTAAATGCACCCCAGCATATTGATATTCACAGACAAGCTTGAATAATTATGCAAAATGTGAATTTTACATGCAACCTCTCTGTGAACCAATCTCGCATAACACTGAATTGGAAAGCACAAAGTCTATTATGGCTCAGGCTTTGGCATGTGAAGAAAAAAAAAAACTTGAAAAATTCCAAGCTCAGAAATGGTTTACCAAACAAAAGCACAATGTATGCTCATTGGACAGGGACAGTGCTTACATAACTCTCCTTTACTGATGGTGGAAGAAAATTAACGGTTGCATAAATTCCTGGCCTGTCCTGAAGAACTAACATACCACTTTCTTTTTTCATATTTCCAAAATAAATGAAAAAGAAAATAGCTGCACTTACTATTTATTTTCAAGTTTTCATCCTACAGTTCCAAAGGAAAGTTAAACTGCTGATATTGCAAAGGCAAACTAGACTGCTAATCATATTTATAGAAACTCAACTGTTAAAATTCTAAAGGCCTTTTCACCTTTGTCTTCTTTCTCTAAGGCAACCCACTTCAGGGAGAAAGAATTACTAAATGCATAATTTCCCAATCCAATGAAATGTATTAGTGTGATTTCTGGATTTCACTATAATTTAAAACCCTTTTTGGTATTAACAGTTTTTGTCAATTTTAAAGGCTAATATTTCTTTTTGGGAATTATGTCTATTGGTAAATCTATGCTTTAAAATTCAAATATACCTGAAAAAAGAATCCTATGTCCTTCTACCAAGAGAACATAATACAGCAATGATAATGTAAAAGCAATTCAAACGTTAGCATTTCTATCTTTTTTTCTTAATTCATTCATGTTTATTTCAGTTTGTTTCAAGTCCACACTTTTTAAGCTGCACTGTTGAAGTTAATACTATGTACCTTTAAAAAGTATGACAAAGATAGTTTAATCTGGAAAGGAGTTTTTCCCCCAAAAGAAGCTTCATAAGAGTAAACATGCCCTTTCAACACCAGCATTATAGTGCAGAATCAATTTAGTCAGTCCTACTGGACCCACCTGCGACTCAGATCAGAAGGTTATATGAAATGACTTATGTGGCACAAAACACATCCTGAAAACTCCAGCAGCTAGGAGTGCTGGCATCAGCCAAGATCTGTTTTGCAACATGACAGCATCTTGGAGATGCACAATGCAATGCTGTGGTCTGCATGACAGGTCTGTTCTTAAGTTGGGACTGCTCTCTTCAAACTGTCTACCCATAAAGGCCAGCCTTCTTCCTGTCACTATCCTGACGGAGCTGGGTCACCTTGGCCAGATGGCAACATAGCACAGTAGGAAGACAAATGCGATCGCCAACCAACCCAACCCTTGACAAGTCTGCCCTTTTCATCGTCAAGGACTGGGAAGAGAATGAAAGGAGACTTGAATCCAGAAGTACAGCACTTCAAAGTTTATATGTTTGTTACATATAAGAGAGGTTTTTAAATACTATATACCACAGAAAATACATGATAAACATGCCTGTTATTTTTTCTTTTGAATGGGTATATTTTGCTAAAAGTGGTTAATCAGGAAAGAAATGCAACATACATTTAGACAAAAATAGGTACATCATTTGGTAGCAGTTAAAGTTATCATGTTAAAAACTTATTAGCTTATTACTTATTAATATGAGCAGACTACACCAAAGGTCGACAGATTCCTAGTATACAACTGCAGGCTCTTACACAGGCCATGACTCACTGGCACTGGCAAAGACTGTTTGCATATCAGTGTACTGTGGCAAGTGATTGTTACGGCCGTTGAAAATGCAGACAGACTTGGCTAGAGGTTGCTTTTGAAGTAGAGGTGAACTTTCCTCGTCTGCCAGTGGCAGGCTAACATCGTGTGAGAAAACCGGATCATGGTGTCACATTGCTGAGCGAGTCTGCTTATGATCAAAGGCCAGAGGCCCTTCCACCCCAGTGCAGAAGCCTAAGCATCAGGCTTTGTTACTAAACTAAAAGAGGGGTTAATATGCAACAGAACTTCACATCAGACACTAAATAAACCCCATAGACCACAAAGGCAAGGGGAGGCATCTTATCCACGTCTGGAAACAAAAACACTTCCACACTCATGCTGGCACACAGAAAAAAACATTAACTCAAAATCTTGTGAAATTGGATTTAGGACTTGTCAATAGGACCAGTAAACAAACTGAACTGTGGGGCAACTGAAAGCATCCAAACGATCTGAGCTCTGTCACAATAGGTGACTTTCTTTAATGCCTGTGAATCACTTACTGAAAATTACTGGTAAAGCTACTGTTTGAAAAAAGTAAGCAGCACTACACTTAGTTAAGACAGTTTGATCTTTCCAATACATAGCTAGTAAGCTTTGTAACTCGAATACAGGAATTAATTTAGCATTTCAAATGAAGCACAGCTGTTTGAATTTGTAATGATATCAACAATATACATGTAGATTTTTGATTTTCCACTTGCACACTTTCAGAACATTTCAATTAAACACACTGAATGCACTGTTAATATGTGCATAGATATAAAATTAACTGTCATTCCAATTACTTGATTGAGATCAAATCTTCTTTGTTTAATTAGACTCTTGTATTTGAGTAACAAACTAGGGGAGAGGTGCATATTTATATACTGATAAAGCACAAGGCCTATATGACACAGAAATAAAATATATCAAATATATTTCAGAAATAAACTTCTGTTTTTCACCCTAAAAATAAAGTGCAAGAACAAATGACCTCTACCATTCAATACTACTTTGAGTTGTAATGAAAAGACACAGAACACTACAATTAGTGGAATGGATGCTGCGATAAGTTGTATAAACAGATGAAACTTGAAATACAGGGAAGCCAAATCATTTAAAAGTCAATAAATATTTCATTTTTTTACAAAACAGAACTTGATCAAAAGTCAGTGTAACATTCCAAAACAAGATCAATATGATTTCTCGAACCAGGTTATTTGGGGTTATGAATGTATATTGGTTAATACTGGGCTATGTAGCAGGCACAGACAAAAAATAACATGCAAGATTCCTAAAACAAATGAAAATCAGATTAATTCCCCTATTGCCCATATTCTAAGTTTTGAACATCAAAGTTGGATACAGACGCCACAGTTCAAAGATAAACACATTGCATTTTTCTAAAAATCAGAAATGAAACCAAGAAACAGTCTTCTCTTTAACGTATTGCATTGACTTGAGTGTATTTTTCCTGCTAAAAATGTATTACATTTTACGATTACCTTGATTGCCCAAGCAAAAAAAAAAACATTGGGAAGAAACGTTGAGATTGGGAAGTGATGAGATTGTAATGAGCCCTAAAAGTCCCTAAAGAATGATAGCTGGCCAACAGCAACAGTACACATAAAAGAAACTCATTACAAAGCTTTCACCAATCCTTACAATTGAGGATTGATAGAGGTATATCCTTTTATTTCAATTTAACACATCTAGAGCCATGTGTAATGTTGGTAATGACAGAGAGGGTCTGAAATATCCTGTTTGACAGAACATTTTAAACAAAGTCGCCAAATGAACTAGACAAATGACACGCAGATGCTTAAAAACTCAGGTTATTGGTAAATGAAATTATTTTTGCTGTCTTTAAATTGCAACCTTTATGTTGTTAAGGTTTAGCTATTTGGTTTATTAAGACTTATTGGGGTCAAGTTCATAAGACTAATTTTATCCAGTCACATTTGAATAAAGGGGAAGAAAAACAAAGGTAACCATTTACTTTCCCAGAAAGACTGCAAAGTCGGCATGGCTAAAAGTGCATTACAGCTCACCTTATTCTTTATATGTAGTTAAAATGATAGGATATGTTGTAGACACAGCAATGTGCCATTAAACAACAATTAAATCACAGTGTTTCAACTTCATAAGATTTTCATTAGAGAAATCCCAGCAGGCTGTATTTCAGTAAACTTGCAAAATACATCACAGTCAATTAGGACTGCTATTACTTTCCATCTTCATTCCAACTGCTCAGATGAGCAGACCAACAACTGAATGTCCTGAGCAAGCACGTGTAATTGAGCATACAGAGCTTTCAGCTGTAAGTCTCACACACTGTAATCCTATACTCCTCAGGTCTGGAAGAATTTAACCAAGAGAAACGATCGCATTACACCCCCCCAAAAAAAAATATCAAAACCTCATGCTACTTTAAAAGCCCATGAAGTCACACTCTAATCCCAGTGTGCAGCTTTCAAATAATCCTACTAAACTGGAAATGGATATACCTCATGGAATAGTTAAAAGGGGGGATGTTGGGAAGATTATGGAAGAACCAGAAGCCAAATGAATCATTCTGGCTTTGGTGCATCTCTAGCATGAATGGACCAGTTATGTTAGTGTCCCTTTAACTCTCTCATACAGGCCATTCCACTTTGTGTAGCACCAGTCACCTACAACTTCAGTCATCTGAAGATGCACTTTGTTTTATTCAATTTCTCATTTCATCTAGAGAAACAAGATGCAGAAACACTAAACATCCACGCATGGGATCGAAACAACAAAAGTAATCCCCCTATCTGCTGGCAAATTTTCTTTTGGATAGAATGTAGACTATTTTTAGGCTTTTGATGGGGAAAAAAGGACATTGTACAAATTACACAGACTGCATTCTCAATACCACCCGTCATAACATCTCAGAATTTAAAGGTGATTTTCAAATCCACTACCTCTGTTGTAAAAGTATAAAACAAATACAAATTATGAGGATGGCCATGAAATCAATAAAACATGTTACAATTTTACAGTAAGGCTAAGGCTCTTTTTCTATGTTTTAAGTTAGTTTTTTTACCTATAAATAATATAGCACATTCATATTCTACACAGAACATTGAGATGGGAAATTACAGCAGTCAAATCAGAACAAAAAACTTCATCTAAAGATACAAACTGGTAGTAATTGGTACCAGGAAGATAACTGACAGTCACTGCTACAGAGACAACACAATTCTAAGCTAATTTAAATAATCCAGTTTTTTCGACTCCACTGTGGGCAAGCATGAAGGGGGAGCAGGGCTCGGGAGGAGGCACACCCACCGTGGTGATCGTCAGAGGAAGACTGGCCAGGCGACGGCTGGGAGGGCTGAGGGGGGGCTTCTCCGCCGTCTGCAGGGGGGCTGCTATTGAGCTGACCTACCGGAGGGGGCCATGGCAAGTCCTTGATCACTTTAATCTCTACTGTAAGCAGTACAAGTCCGCAGCACAGGAGGGAAGCACCACAAGGCAAAGAAAGAGAGGGGGGGGGGGAGAGAGAGTATAATGAGAATAGGAAAAATCAGCAGCCACAGTGAGTGCAGAAAGGTTGCAGTTAAACCCGGAGGAGACAGGAGAGGAGGGAGGCTTGTGAAGAGGCTGCTTCAAGAGGAATGGACACTTCCACATGAGAGCAGCTCTCGTCAGTGTCAGTCCAGAGCTCCACTAGGCATCACACCATAGAGTCTGCCATGAGGAAGTGGGTCTTTCACAAGACGCTCAAGCTTTGTTGCAGTCACATGGATTCAATTAATGCATTCAAATTCAAATAAACTCTTAGGCACATAAGAATAACTTGCAATTAAGCAAAAAGGTCTGAAAAGCCTAAATTGTTTAGTTCTTATTTATCTCTCTGAAAATGGTGGCAGTTGGAACACTGTGTGAAGTGCCCATAAACTCTCGACCCCTGGATGCACTGTTGGAGCCAGATTGCTGAGCTGCACAATTCCATGGTAAAAACAGTGAAGATCAGAACCATGTGAAATTCTCGAGGTTTTCTTTACTGTCCCCATAGCACGACTTCATTATGCCTAGACACTGCACTTTTCTTTAAATATACAGCTTTTGAAAGCAAACTAGTATTTAACAGAATTTCCTTAATGGCTTGTTCACATTTAAGCAAAGAGGTCTGGAGTGTAAATCTTGTGCTGTTATGCCAGCAGAATAACATTTAACAGGGTACGAACAGCTAAATTTAAGTTCAAATCTGGGTTTAGAAGGCAAACATTTTCTAACTGTTTTAGTTAAATTAGGTAATAAATAAATACATTTCACATTCTTTTTTCACTGTTTTCATGTCTATGTAAGAAGGTAAAAATGAAATACTGGAATCTGTAAAATGGCACTCATTATTGAAATGTGAAAAAAAGTCACAAAAAGTACTCTCAACTTCTCCACAATTTCACGGAAAAGAGAAAAAAGAAAGCATATCATTAAACCTACAGATAGTTCTAATTCTATTCTTTCTTTAAGTTAAGGGATCTGTCATTGAAGAAAGGGCCATAAAATGCATTTGCTTTCAGCTGGACAATTGTTACAGTACATTAAACTAACACAGATTCGCATTCTGTAAAAAAAACTAAAAGATTTTGGGAAAAAGGTGAAAGGCAAGAAAGGTGAAAGTAGATTAAATCCAGTTGGGAAAGCAACATATTTCAGGACTATAATGCTATAATTCCCTTTCCTCAAAGCTGTGGCAGTAAAGGGGCTGAATTAGAGCGATGTTAAGGTCAGACTACCATGCAGTTGGTTGTTCTGACAGCAAAACTAATAAGCATGACAGTAGGGTAAGCTGCTCACAGCAAGGCATTTAATGTTAATACTGTAATTCACATTTCCCTCTATAGAGTACAGTGTAATTATTTTAGAGAATAACAATGCATTGCAATGGCCCCTACTTACCCTAAGGAAGCCCGATTTCAATTTATATAGGTCAAATACAGTTTTAAAAAGGCCTCTTTTACAAACAAATGAACTTTACACCATAAGAAGATGCCTAAGCTTTTTTAAAATATCGCTGTGTACATTAGAACACCTAGTTATTTCAAAACAATTGACCAATTACAGCATGCATTATAAAGGCCTTTATGTGGTAAAAAATGATTTGCATTGCCTTGTATTTCCTCCATAATTAAACAATAGTGCTCCAATATGTTATTTATGCGAGACCGGTTAAAAAAAACAACAACCCAGAAATAGATTCACGAGCAAAAATAAAGGTTTTGCTTCAAAGTGTTCTATGAAATTAAATATTCCAAAATGCATTACCACCTTCAAAACTAAAAATTAAAGCAGAGAGTGCAAAAGTACAGCAATGAGTCCTGAATGAAATTAGTGAAGACATTACATTTGTCAGATCATTGTGCATTTCTGTTACTAGACCAAAACAGGTAAAATATATGCATGAGTAACAAAGGTGTGTACCCTTAAAACAGACCTTGAAAACCACACAAAATACATGCGATGTTTCCCTGACAATACAATTCCTAAAGTTTTAATTCAGGGCTTTTAGGTGCAGTATGTGTTCAGTTTCAGCTAGTAGTTTATGTAAGACACTTATTGTGATGACATAATTGTCAGCACAGCAATGCCCAGGGTGTGTTCTATATTTTAAGTAGGTCATTCCCAGCTGTGGGGGATCAAGAGTGAAATTAAAATAATTACAACTACTTTCAAAACCATTACATAACCAAGTCATGTTAAATTTTAAGAGCTGAGATTCAGAGCAGTTTTTGGTGACAAGTATTGTAAATTCAAAATGCTTAGCATGATATACATGTTGGTCAACTATCAAAACTCAGCTCTAAAAAATTAAAATCCATTATGCTTCCAGACAATAAAGCAAGTCAACTTAAAATTAAATAATCAAATCAACTATTTCAGTCTGTTGTATAAAAAGCAAATACTGCCTTATTAATTTGAGAGAAATAAAATGATTTAGGAGAGGCAATTGAGATGTAACTAGCTGTAACTGATTCCATTAATAAAGATAAAAATGAAATCTATAAGAAATCTGTTTACATTTATATACAGTGCACCCCATGTAAAAAAGTAAGTACACCCCATGAAAAGGTGTGTTTTTTCATATATTTGCATGTATGGATATTTGATCTTCATTTCAACAACATGATCTCATTTAACAAATAAAAATGAACATTATTCTTTGCAATAATTTATTCAACAAAAGAAAAGTCAGAAATGCAATTGCCTGCTGTGGAAAAAATAAGTAAACCCCCTAGCTTCAGCAGCTGGTGTTGCCCCCTTGGGCAGAAATCACTTCTTGTAGGCGTTTCTTATAATTGTCTACCAGTCTCCTACATCCACTTGGAAAAAGTTTTGCCCACTCCTCCTTACAGAACTCTTTCAACAGTATGACGTTTGAGGGTTTTCTTGCATGTACTGTCCGCTTAAAGTCCCCCCACAGCATTTCTATGGGGTTAAGATCTGGGCTTTGACTTGGCCATTCCATAACCCTCCATTTCTTCTTTTTGAGACATTCTTTTGTGGATTTGCTTGAGTGTTTTGGGTCATTGTCTTGTTGCAAGGTCCACTTACAGTTCAGCTTCAGCTTTTTGACAGATGGCCTCACATTCTCCTCAGGTACTCTCTGGTACAATGTGGAATTCATGGTTGACTCTATGGTGGCAAGGTGGCCAGGCCCTGAGGCAGAAAAACAGCCCCAAACCATAATGTTTCCACTGCCATGCTTTAGTTGGTATGATGTTCTTTTGGTCAAAGGCAGTTTTTGGTTTTCACCAAACATGACATCTGGCATTGTGGTCAAACAGCTCTACCTATGTCTCATTCATCCAGACCAATAGTTGAATAGTCCTGATTTTCACCTAGTCTGGCAAACTTCAGTCGTGCATCTATATTCTTTTTTTTTAAGCAGAGGCTTCTTCCTTCCTGACCTCGCGAGTAGGGCAAAGTTGTGCAGTGTCTATCGGATGGTTGATTCGATGCACTTTGACATTGACTAGGGCAAGACTTGTCTGTAAATCTATTGATGTTATCCTGAGGTTCTTGGAGACTTTCTGCTGCATCTTTCAGTCAGCTCTTGGGCTGAGGCTGAATTTGGTGAGACAACCTGGCCTGGATATATTGCCAGTGGTTTAAAATTTTCTCCATTTGTAGATGATCTTTCAGACAGTGGAGTGATTGACTACAAAACCCTTCCCAGACTCATAGGCATCAACAATCTTTCTTCTGAGGACCTCAGAGAACTCTTTTGATCTTGGCATGATATAGCCACACACCTCAATTGCTAAGACCAAACCAGACCACAGGTTTCTGATGTTTATTTAAGGTAGTGCCCTCCAGTTACTCTCTAGTGATGTTTAATCATTTGCACCTGTTTTGGTGCACCTGATTCTAATTTTAGGCATTTGATGCAATGATAAAGGTAGGGTTGTACTAACCTTTTCTGCACAAGGAAATTGCATTTCTGTTGATTTAAACAGTAAAAATGAGTGCAAAATGTAATTTTTCTAACTTAGATCACCTTTATCCATCAGTATTGTTGAAATGATAATCAAATATCCTTTTTTCCACAAATGTAAAAAAAGACCAACCTTTTCATGGGGTGTACTTTTTCCACAAACTGTATAACATAAAAGCAAAGAATAAAAGGCAAGTTTCAGCTGTGGAGCCTTCATCAGGCATGTGGAGCTGTGCGTGAGGATAGAGCCCACAGCTGAAACATACCGTTTCACACTTCTCATTTTCAGCATGAAATTAACCTCTACCTGTTTCTTTGCATATCGCAGTTCCCTGTTTAAATTAAAAAAGGTAATCTAAAACCATTGACAACTGAATTGATCCGCATCCAAACGTTATGTTTTTTTTTTTCCCCAAGGGCAGCAGTGCCTATCATTTTTAACACGTATATGAAAGGGCACAATGTCTCCTATTGTCAAATTTGTCTTTATCTTGTCCATACCACATTAATTTCGTAGAGATTTGGGAACCTCTTGCAAAGGAGAGTTTCTTCTCAAGGGGTTGGTCCTGACAAGCACATTTGAAAATAAACAAAGAAGAGTCTGATGAAAGCACATCTGCTCTGCTGTTGTTTGCAGTATGAATCAACTGGGCACGTGACTTGCTCCTCTGTTTTGGCAGCACTTCACAAAGCACATCCTCTAATGGGTTTTTCTGCCAGCTGAAGCAAAATGGTTAGCCTTTGATTAATTGAAGCCCCATTGAGCGAATGTCTTTATTACATCTTTTCTGAGGTTGATGTTCATGTTGAAACCAAAGACAGCCTTGAAATGGAGAAGGTATCTCCATTTATTTTTTAAAGCAGACTGCTGATCCACAGCATGTATTGTTTTTTGTAGTTATTTCTCAGTATAATCACATTTTTTTATTTTAATTACCAGGTTATAATTGAGTGATAGCTAAATTTAAATAATTCTCCATAAATTATATAAAAACTTATTGGATAGCATTTAATACATTACAAGCATACTCAAAATGCTTCTCTTTAATCCAAGGACAACTTGTGCTGCATACTGAACAGAACTAATTGGGTTTGTGATCATTTGTCGTGTTGGTATATGGCTTAAATATTAATCTTATGCAATTTGTCATAATCTCAACTATCCCAATTCTCCAATATAGCACGATATGTCTTAATTACGTCACTTTCTTTTATATCCTGCAACCCCAGTAACCAAAACCAGCAGAATTGCATTGCCTAACATTCTTTACCAACATTAAAGTCAAAGACTGCTTATATCAAAAACATGACGCAATGTGAAATTCCTCCCCCTTCTTGTCTCTTACATCATCTATGTAAATACCAAATGTATTGAAATAATGTAATTAAATCTTATATGAGGAAGGGGTGCTGCTCACAAAATCCATAGTTTATGAGAGTAACCACAGTATATCTTTGGTTACTCTTATTTATAGAGGAATAAGATTTAGGCACTACAGTTCTTAAGTTTTGTGAAGGAATCTTGGGTGAAACAAACCAGTTAGATTGTTTTCACTCAGTTATATTTTCTGTTCAAGTTATTATAATGAAAATACTTTTATTTGACTCTTCGCAAGAAGAGCAAATAGTTGACATGGTTAATTCCACTGGCTGACCATAGGCAGATGGATAGTTGGATTCCACAAGGCCACTAGGGAAAATGGAAATGCTGTCTGACTATCTGAAGGGAGAGCTGGGAGCCAATGATTCTTGTAGGCAATGTGTCTGAGCAGAGATAAGCAATGACACCCAAAGCCTTAATGCAGCAGACACAGTTATGCACATGAAAGAAGTATGTCAGGAAGGTTATCAACACTGGAAAATTAAAACGAGTACGGAATGACAATGATGCGAGATTTCACGATTTAAAAGAAGATGAAAGACAGTTGTAATTGAAATGGATGTTCAACCATTATGTGGAACTTTTTTCAGCTATCAAGTGACACTCTAGCAGAAGCCCATTTCGTTCCCCTAGACAATTTTAAAAATAAGCATATAACAGACAGTATATGGGCTGTCCAGGCCTAGAGCTGGCTACCAATGCATGAAGTAGTTCTGTCTCCTTTCAAGTGTGATTTAGAGTGTACTGAGTTTACTGAGTGAAATATTATGTACACTCATTTACTGAGTGTACATAATATTACAGGCTGAAAAACAAAGAGAAAAAAGTCAGTGAACAGCACATGGCTAAAGATTAAATAACACCTTTGTTTCACTTTGAGGTACTCTTGTGTTTCTGAATGTGTGTAACACATTAAGAGAATAATGTATCCCCCAGGTCTCGGAAAAACAGATAGTTGATACTATTGTGCTGATTGAAGGGACACGTTTTGCTTCATCTTTCTGACTTGTCTCATCAATCATTGATGGATCAGCTGGGGAAAGCACAGGGTCAAACGGATACATGAATCATTAACTCTGCTTGTACAGCACTTCCCTGAACATGAAACAAAGACTTCCTAATAATGGAGACAAACATGCACCAAGTCAGTACAAAATGCTCATGTGGGAAGACAAAATCTACTGCAGAAGACACTGGACTGAGTAAGTGGTTCTGAGATCCAGACCTCCACATGTCCTTGGTTCTATCATGTGTTTGAAACATTTGTGCTTTTTATGGTTTGATCTTGTCGGTCTACTGAAGGTTTTAATTAAATAATTACACAAACATACCACGTATACATAACATATACATAAAAATACAAATTTACATCTGAACAAGTATTCTACTCAAGTCCAGCTTAGTTTGTACAGTACCACATATTAGAAAGGTAATTATTTATACTGGTAGTAAAAATGTAATATTATGATAAGGTCCACTTTCACTAATCACTTGGCTGCTTTGTCAATTTTTGAAAAAGCAGTTGGCATTAAAAACAAGATCCAAGAGCTATTGCAGAAGTTAATGATATGATCTTCTGGGATTGCAAAGAGAATATTTTTAAGCAGGAAACCAATGGAGAAGAACCCAAGAGTAAAACTATTTGTTTCAGCAGAGGCATAGTGGAACACAAAAAATATTACGAAATGATACTCATTGTGTTTTGGAAATTTGAAATTTGCCCAGCTGCTGAGCTCTATGGAAACGGATGATAACCTGCTCTTACTTAACCTGGTGGGAGAGGTGGATATGTGATACTGAGAAACGACAGCCATGCTGCTTGCTGCGATAACCTCAGTTTAACATTTGACTTTAAAGCCTTTCTAGTGATTCCTGTACAGGCTCGCTTTCTGCCTCTGTCACCCCATATCTGTCATAAACAGCAGTCGCTTGGCACCAAGTGAAGACAGCTCCTCTGTGCTGAAATGGAATCTGACCAAGACCTGTATTCTTGATACAGATAGGCTGCTCAAAACGGTACATCTCCATTTCTGTTATAGACAATTGAACAAAATAGTATAAGAGAATCTTTATCTAAGAACAATGTCTTTAGCCAAGCATAGCTTAATGTATTCTATCATTTAAGTGATCATGCTATTTAATTGGGTGATACCAAGAATTACTGAACTCTGAAGTAGCTTATACTGTACATACCAACCACTTAGTATACCAAAGACACTGAATAGTGCTCTTATTTCAAAAAGCTAATTGTTGTAATCCAAAATTTACCTGAAGCATGAATTGGAAATTCTACAGAGTTTACCTGTAATCTACCTGTAATGGAAAAAAAAAGTCTGGAAACCCATGGCTCTCAACAAAATCTAGCAAGGTTTTGTAGAATAACTGAATAAGTGAGACATGGAAAGAAAGTTTATTAAGTATTATCATGCTTAAGAATGTTGGTTCAAACTTGTTTCTTGCCAACAGATTTTGCCATATTTTTAAATACCATATTTTCATAATTGTATGAAAGCCAACTTTATTAGAATTTGGATTTATAGGCTGTCTAAACTGCAGGGGTCCTGAGCAGAAAAAAACTATATTACAAATAAAGATCGCCAATAAAATTTCTTGCATGTGCAACAAGATTAAAGAGGATAAAAATAAGCAATACCAAAACAAATTCCAAAACGTTCCTGCTCTAAAGAACAATTAAAGTGAAAAGGGGAGATGCCTTTTTTTGGTAAGATACATTAGGGTTGCTTTCAACCACTGTCAATATCACTGCTATTCAAAAATAAAATCAATTAGGAGCTCAACATGAAATAAAATGTATCATGAAATGAAGAATGAAAAATATTTTTAACAGATGCTTTTGAAGTTTGAAAGAAAACAGCCAAAGCGAACATATGGTCTAACATATCAAATTTATGCAAGTATACCTTACAGTAAGGTTAGAAACACAGACATTGTAAAACAAAGGAAAATAGCCGCTGATTAAATGACAGATAAGGAGAACAGTACAGTAGATCAAATCAGAAAAGGGACATTAGATTTTCAAACTAACTTGTGAGAGTTCTTTGGCACACTAAAGCTGACAAGAGATTGTTGTAGCTTGATTTCACATTCCATGCAGCCTCCAGAAAACATATTTAATCCTGATTTGTACAGTGTCCTATTTTATGTTAGGATATCAGTACCGTGCTAGTGCTTTCATGCTTCTTAGCAGAGTGGATGAGTTCAGACAGATTCATAAAGCAAGTTCTTGCTTTCTATCTCTTTCTTTTCCCCCATTATGCATTTTGTCACTATACCTTAAAATAGCACAACTGGCATCTACATTCTTAAAAGGAGAATTCAGCAATATTAGCTTATTAACAATTATTTAGCTTGTGCAAAATAATTAGAAACTTTACCCTATAAAATGTTTATTCAGGTCTAGGACCCTAAAAAAGAAAATACAATACATTTTTTAGATTACTGAAACAAAGAAAAAAATTCTTCAAAGGTCCTTTATTTCTTTAGATTTCTGTACATATTCAAGTAGATCACTTTTATGTGAAGATTTAATTAAAAATAGTATCTCCTTTCTTTATCCAGCTGATGAGCCTGAGTAATAATTATACAAAGCACTGCCCTGGTTTTCATCCCTGCTTCATAAAGATGCTTTTAAAATCTGCATTGCTTCCAGCACGTATCAGAGACATGCTGACAGGCTCACTTGCTCCAGTCCGCAGTAATTATTCTGCGTAGTTACAAGCCACCACACAGTGCAATAGTGAAATGAAAACTGCCTATAGTGGAGACAATAAAACTGCTTTAATAAATTAATTCTGAAACCAGACTGGCACTGGCCTTTATAATTGATTTCTACAAAACACTGAGGAATGTGATTATAAATGCAGGCAGAAAAAAACAGACAGACGGGCTCAAACACACTCCTATGTACCTGTGTGGGCTTTAGAGACGTTGTCCTCTTTTCTCTCCCAAGGCTCAGATCCAATGCAAGTTACAGCGCCCCCGTAGCTAATGCAGTTATAACAAAGCAGAGCTGTTCAAGGAAAAAAAAATGACAAAAAACCTTTCAGTGATTTAAATGTCAAATCCCATATTAAATTAATCACTGAAAGGGTTTTTTTAAATCTCATTCCCAAAAACAGACCTCCTTTGTTATGGCTGCATTAGCCACAGTGGCTCATCTCTCAATAGAGATGAAGGTGTTTTTTCTAATCTTGGGACGCTGACAGAAACAGGTATACAGAGATGCACATAAAGTGTCTTTTACATCTCAAACGAATCCACTGATATTTAATTCTCTTCTCATGATCTGCCATCATCAATAATGTAGTGATGGAACACAAACACAAGTACTTATATACACAAGCACAGATGCACACACAGGACTCATGGCTTCCAAGACTGAGATTGAGGCTGGACATTTTTTTCTGTGTTTAGTCTCTTTCACTGGCACCTAAGTTTTTACTGTTTGTACCTGCAAATGCCTTTGATATTCTGTCCTTCTTCCACTCCCAGGGCTGATCGTACTCCTCAGGCGGTCGCTCATCGTCCTGGGGCAGACGGCTTTCTCTGGGAGGACGAGAGCCTCCTCGCTCAAGGTCCGAGTCACTGCCATTCTCTGTTGGCTCATATGGGGTATCGTAGAGGTGCAGCTGCCTGACTGGTCCATCCTTTGGCCCTCTGCCTCCGCGTATTTCTGAGGAAGCATAAAGAGCAGTCCATCAAACACATACCCCCATGCTCTTACACCGAGTCAGAAGGTGCCTTTAATTCAAAACCTTTAAAACGGTCTTTTTGGTCAGAAGCCTGTCAGTTGTAAAGTTCTGCAGCAATTAAATGCTTTGGTAAAACATAGAACAATGCATTATTATTAATCCTGTGTGTTTTCACAGGGAACATTCACAGCACACTTTCCAAAGTAGTCTAAAGTAATGGACAGTATATATACCATATAGAATGAATACAAAAAGAACAATAAGACAGATAATACTTTATTAATCCCGTAGGGAAATTGATGAAGGTTGGTCTACAGGGAAGTAGTAGGTATAGGAACAGCTACTCTGATTCATGCAAACTATAAACCCGTAAGTTCATTAGGACCTGTGAATTTTACCTACTTGAAAACATCAGTTGATAAGCTCCTAGCTGAAAAGCGGACCTGATCAGCCTTAGCATGCCCTATTACATATGGATTGAAGCAGTGAAGGATAACTTAAGCGAATTATTCTGCAGCAACTTCCACATGAGAATTGGGATGAAATCTTTAATTGCTTCCAAATGCATGAGTGGGTCTTAGAAGGACAAGGTGGGCAGTGAGGACTTTGTGACACTATGTTTTCATGCAAGGCAACACTAAGGTCTAAACTAAAACACTATCAGTGCTCACCTCAGAATACGCCATGAGCTTTTAGTATGGGAAGATAAAATTCTCATTTTTAAACACTGACCAGAAATATAGTGTGGGTGCAGGATCCCAAACAGATCTTGACAATTGTTGCTTAAAACAATCACCCAGTTAAGTGATCCTGCTCTCAAAAGGGCAGTTCTACAATAATAATGGTGAAAGCAAATTGTTCTGGAAGTGAGTGGGGGTGGGCGTTGACTGTTGCCTGTGGCTATACACCTGTGAGTGCAAGTCAGAGCCTGTGTGAAAGGAAAGTTGCTGTAACCGCATTTCTCAAAAGGGTTGAAGGAATTTCCGGATGTTGAAAACCTACCCAGTACTGCTGTTCTATTACGATATTTCTATGACATTGAGGACCTTGCTACTTTAATACTATGTATATGATATTAAAAACGCATGATTGCACGTCACATTCTTTTTCAAATTCAAACCCTGCCCTAGGAGATTCAGAAAAAGTTTGAGAAAAAAAACATCACATAAATGTAGACACAGGTCGATGAACTACTTTTCACAAAGGTACTCAAAGCTTTTCCTGGTCTTTTGGGAAACAAACTAAACCGATCAATTTCTAAGATTACAATAAAGCTGCTCTGTTCATTAGGTTTCTCAAATTACCTTATATTTAGTTTTTTCACATTTTCAACAATTACAGCTTTTATGGTTTGCTTTAAAAACGCATGGTACCTACTTTGTGTAAAATACATGACATACAACAAAACATAATATACATAGTGTTGAAACAAAAGTTTTTTTAATATAAAAATAAATCCTGAGATGTTTTACTACAAAATAATTACTACAGTTCGCAACATTACACACGTTAATGACAATTTACATCACTGTCTTTTGCAAGAGGTCACAAAGGGGACAGAAGGCATGAACAAGAAATTGTATCACGTCCATAATTGTTTGTGCTATAAATTTCTTAAAAAACTAGAATATGAAATTGATGGCTTCATGATGGCAGAGCTGGACTGCAGAGGAATTTCTGGTTTGATGCCTAGTGATGCGCTCCTGCTCAAAAAGGTCCTAGTACGCAGTGAGTATGACAAGTAGGTTTACTTGTTTTAAAATTATAGAACAGAGGATTTGAGGTAACAGTTAATTGGAAAAGGCCTTGAACAGGGAAGAAAACAACAAGTCAAAGATAACAGTAAATGGTTAAAGGAATGGATTAAGCAATATACTGTAGGTAGGAGGTTTTTTTGGCTGAAGTGAAAGATATTCAAATAAATGGTTCTCTCGTTTAGGTACGTGGTGAAATCTCCTGGACACTGCTGTTATCCTTGGATTTGACATTAAATGTAACGCATCAGTTCGCACATGCAAAACAAGTTTCCAATTCATTTTAAACACTCCCCTAAATCCAGAGCATGGAGGCCCTTTTCCACTACATTTAGTTCACTCATGCATATCCATACCAAGGCAGCTCATCACCTGGTAATGTAATGTTGAAAATGAAATATTATGCTACAGCACTGTGTGTAATTGCTTTAAGCAGAGGGAGTCTCATGAAAAAGAAGTGTTAGTTCTAATCTAGATAACCCAAAGGGATCAAAACCTTAAAGCAATCCACAGAACCAAACACCTTTGATCTCCTAAAGTCAAAAAACCCTACGATCCTGGAAAGATATGCATCAACCTGCTAGTGAAAGGATAAACGGTTAAAAAGGCCAATGAAAGACAATCAAACCTATCCACAGAGAGATGAAGGAAAGTCGAGGTGTGATGGAGCCTGGAAGAAGTAAATCTTGCTTGGAGGGAACTTTAATTGGGACCACGCTGCCTTAAATAAATTGCTGAAGGAGATTAGAGCCCCAGCAGGTTGCTATTCAACAAGAGCTCCTTTTGTGTGTAAATTAGCAGCAGGCTGTGAGAGCTGCAGAAAGCTGAGCCCCGTTGATTCTGGGCACGTGGCTCCTGTAATCGGACAGCTTTGCTGCCCAGGAGGAACAGAAGCCCTCTCATTGTTGGCGTCCGCGTCACAGTGGCTAAGCCATGCTTCAGAAGATTAACGGGGTCATAACACGTCTTCCCTCTCCTGTGATCTCCTCAGCTGGCAAAGGTCAGTGGCTTTTCCCCACTGTTCTCACAAGAGACCGGATGCACTAGTTCCTCTCTATAATAAAGCCCGTTGTGTTTTAGGAATTCTATCCCCTGGTGAAAGCTGCACAATAGTACAAACTGCAGCTTCTCTCCCCCAGAACTGCTGCTGTCAATCAGATGGTTTATTTATTATTCCAAAGGATGGATTTATTTCAAGAACATGTATTGATGGCACAATGAATTAAATTGTTCCCACAAATCGGAGGAGAAAAAATCATGCACAATTGGTTAGGTGAATAAAGTTTTTGGAAGCTTAACATGCACGGTAGAAATGTCTTTGTTTTTTTATTTTGGATCTTATCATTTAAGATTTTCTCAATCTTTAAAAAAGTCTCTATAAACATCTGTCCAATGCCAACAGGACAACTTTAATGCACAGTTTTATTATTTTAAAGTAGCAGTAATTGGAAAAAAATATAGATATTTATATATTTTTTTCCAAGAGTTGCTTTGCTTTTAAATTTTATATTGTACAGAGCAGGTGGGTTTTGTCACGATGGTACATGAACCCAAACATCACAGCTGATCCTTTATTTTTACTGAATGTTTCACTGGACAAATAATCATATACAAGAGCTCAATGTTGAACCCAATTGCTCAATTTCAAAATGTCTGTTTCCATACAAAAGTCTATCACAATATAAAAATGCTGTACAAAAAGTCATATTTTGAATTCTTCAAACTTTAAAAAGAAAAAATCACCAGCATTAAGAATCATGATTATTAACCAAACTTACAAAATTAAGGAAACAGAAACATTTATTGCAGATATTAAATATTGTGAATATCATGTATACAGTACATCTATAAATGTTCATTAAGCAGTCAACTTTTCTGTTTTCTCCTTTCAAAAATTCCTGTGAGCATAAAAAGGAGCTGACATTGAGGAAGATTAATGAGGTAACCTCCAGTTCATGTTGTGACTTTTTTCACTGTTTTGTTGAAACATTGTCATGCTCTTTGGCTTGTTAACAGATGGGTATGCGTGTTGTCAGAAAAATATTTTTGCATTCAGAGTAGATATATACCAACGTTACACTACAAAACATGTTTTGACCAATATACCTAAAGATGGATACTTCAAATTAAAAGCTAAATGCACAAGTGAAAAATATTGGATTGGAGTTAATTACTTAAATACAATGATCTCATCCCATTTAATCGATTCTGGTATGCAAGACAGTTCAAGACAGTTGTTCCTATACTTTAAATTACTTCAAAGGCTACATTTGTTAAGCTTGTATGTAGTTAACACTGACATGCTGCCCGAGGCCTGACATACTTGAAGCTTTTATACTTGACTGTGCAGTATGAATCAAGGTTGTGAGAAATCAAGGCAATTACTTTAGCATTCCACAACAATTCTCCCTCTGACAAAAGCAGAAATGCAATATGTACGCAGTGAATATATTTACCCTGTTGTATACATGGTCACGATCTGCAGGAAGTTTTGCAGTCAATATATTCTTTTTCTTAATAAAGCCGTTGCAGTTTTGAGTTGCCATGATGGCACACAAACCCAATAATCATAATTATAGTGTCCTGTATTCTTACTGTTTCACTGGACAAATAGTCATATACAAGAGCTCAATGGTGAACCCAATAGTTCAATTTCAAAAAGTCTGTCTCCATACAGAAATTTCTCAAGCAATTTTCAAACCTCCTTTGGCTGTTCAGTTATTTTAACCTGTTTAAGAAATCATGACGATGTATTGCGACTCGGCTGTATCTCCTCCTTCCCACAAGACCCTTCACCATTTTTTAATTAAAAGCCCACCACCCAAAACACAGATCTCACTACAGATATAACCTTTACAATTTTCCTTTAATTCAAACAATTTCCACTAGTATTACTGTGTCACCATAACTCAGTCCTCTCCCACCTCACAATTCCACAGTTTATACATCTGTCATAGCTCTGTCTAGGTAAACCCTATTTATAAACCTGTATGTAGTTCAGCATTTCAAAATAGGTCAAAACAAACATTCATTTTAGCCCGTCCAAACATTTCAGTCTTTCCATTAAACAGCCAATGTAAGAAAAAGTACTAAAATGCTGTTTCAAAGTTTCTTGCAGGTTTATGTTGTTTTTGCAGTTATATTTCTCTACATATTAGACAAGTTTGCTTAATTTAGAACTTCAGTAGCAAAGGTCAATACTTTTCATTTACATGGCCTTTTCATTT